ACATAATAAAAAGTAGTCCATTGTAGAGTGAAGAAGCCTCGGCGGGGGGCGCGAGGGTCGACACGCGACTGTTCGTCCTCCTCCCTCCAATTACACTCTTCGTCCCGTCTCGGCCATTTCCTATCAAGTAGTAGTACCGCTTCGAATGCACTGATAAACCAAGTGTGCTGCACAAAAACTGTGCTCTCAACTCCAAGAAGATCAGCTCAATTTTTAAAAAAGACGATTATGCCAAATTCAACCCCTATTCGCATTTAACAAGAAAATAAGGCAAGGATGAACATTATTTGTCTTAGAATTCTGAGTTATCAGTGAGTAACTCTATCTAAAACCAAACTGAACCAGGTTACACTTACTACCATTTAAGAAATAAATACAACATAAAGTTAAAGTACAGCTAGTTTTAAGATTTTAGTCGCATCGTGGGGTGGGGTTTGCCTACCCCGGGGACATGGCCCCTTAGGGGAGCGAGTGGGCGAACCCGCACGCAGCGGTGTCTTAGCACTTGACACTCGCGGTGTGAGAAATCGAATAAAAGTAAACTATATATCTGCATTATCACGAAAGTCTATACTACACCCAATTTTTTTTTTTCTGGACGGGGTGTGGCTGTAAAACGGCGGCCCGAGCTTTGTCTGCGGAGCGCCTTTATTTGACTACAAGAACGGCCACTTTGCGGCTCGTCAGCGCGCAGCCAGCAGCTCTCAGTCCACAATTCAAATGTTCCCGCCCGCGCCGAACAGTCCGTCGTGTCGCGCGGCCCAGACCCTAGCGCCGGTCGTTGTTTCAACATTCGGAGCCAAACGGAAAAATTGACACAGCGTCGTCGCACTGGAGCAGCATGGCGACGAGGCGACGGAGCGCCGCGTACATAGTAATTGGTAATTTTGCCACTTCCTGCTTAAAGGCATGAAGTCTGCGGAGGGTGGGGGCGGGCCAGGGAGGGGGCGCACAGGGGCCCTTCAGCTTTTACAGAGGAGGAGGGGGTGAGGGCTGTGGAGGGGGGGGGGGGTCTCAGACCGGTCGAGAGGACATGGCATCGGAAGGAACTAACGGCCGAGGAAGAGCCGGGGCGTCGACTCGTGCGCCGAATTCCTAAGCGGGACGGACGACACAGGAAAAAAAACGGAGAAAGAAAAGAGGGAGAGAGGGAGGGAAGGGCAATTCCGAATAGAAGCAGTGGTGACGGCGGTACGGCCCGGACAGCAGAGTGACAAAGGAGCTCAAAGGCATCCTCACCACGCTGCGTAGCCAACAATTCCTGACATTTGTTTACGACACTGACTGCGCAGTTCACGCTGTGTTCTGATTATTTTCTTCTGCTACGTAATATGAAAAGCAAAACAAAACAAAAGAATGACATTTAGCTCACAACAAAAAATAATAGAAAAAGCTAGAAAGCTCTGCTAGAAAGCATCAAGAGGGCTACACTCTAGGCTCCACTACTATGAAAAATATGTTGTAATCTCTCTCCATCTTGCCCGCCGTGCATCCGCTCTCCTCTCTTCGCTCCTTCCCACTCGCTCCCGCTCTCCTCCGGCGCAGCTCCACCAACATTTCCCCTCACGTCCTTCCTTATTCGCTATTTTCCCGAGTCTCTCCGCTAATCTCCATCAATCCTACTTCCGTCCGCGTCATCCTTCCCTTCTCTCGGCCTCACATTCCTCTCGCTCCCTCTCTCGCTACCTCCCTGGCCTCTGCGCTCTGCCTTCTCTCTCGCTCTCTCGTTCTCACGTTCCTCGCCGTGTGCGCGTCAAACCCACCAAGGCCTTACGACCTGACAAGCGTCTCCGAGAGAAGAGAGAGAGGGCGAGACTGATTGGCTCGAAATCCATTTCCGTAAGCTAGGCTGATTGCTTGGGTCTGATTAACTATCCTTGCGACAGTTAAAAAAAAAGGAACGTTTTCCAGTTGTCAAGTTATTTCTCACAAAATAATTTCAATTGCAATAAGCTATCGAAACAATCAACGAACGGAAAACATCTCTCCCCGCCGGAAATAGGTTTATGTGGTCTTACGCTGCTCTGCTCGCGCTGTGCGGGTGGGCAGCACTTAGGCTTTATGCAGAATGCATGGGGACCGTTAACTTGCAAATGGCCATTGATACGATCGCAGAGCGCTATTGCTGTCCGTCTGACAGACTGTGTGGCAGGCTCGCGCACTGAGGTGTGGACTGTACGGCAACGGAGAGAAGAAAAAGGAGGGGGGGGGGCAACTGCGGTCTCACCTCACCCTGCCGAAAGGTTACATCCCGGAGGCAGGCGTCGCCTCTGGGAGGCGCGTCACTCAGGGTGGACTTCATTCCCCCTCCCTTCCCCCGGGGACGGGCATTTGTCTTGGTATGCCGTGCGGCGGTCGGCCTGCTGCTGGACGCCCCCAAATTGACAATGATTCAGTGGCGCAGCAGCGAACAGGCAGCGCGCACTCCCCCGGCCTGGCCAGCGGACTTGTGTCACGCGGCCAATAAAGGCCGGATGGTTAACTGGCACAGCGAACTGGAGGGCCACAAGCCAATACCAGCCTCACGCATGCGGTGGGAAACCTTGGCTGACTGGAGGATCCCTGCTCAAAATGAAAGAAAACATATTTGCCCTTATTTCAGGCCTCAAATGATTACGAAACCTAGTGTCCTCCATGACGCAATTGAAGGAAGAATCCTATCTCAAAATGGGTTATATTGTCCTGATCTTGCTCAGATAATATCTACATATTATGTAGTGAGGTTAGGTTCCCCTAGTATTTAGTAAAAACATGAAAAAAAATGTCCCCCTCTCGATTCATCTCTTTGCTCTTAGTTATATCTCTGTCAGTCTGTCTGTCTGCCTCCAGAGTGAGACAGGTGGAGCGCGTTCAACTATGAGTCATTTGGTATTCCAGAGAAGCTCACAGCAAACAGGACTCGGAGAGCTATGCGAAGTGTCCTTCAACCATACGCAAATGCAGCGCGCGCGCGCGCTAGAGAGAGAGAGAGTAAGTAAGGGACAGTCTACAGTAAGAAGACCTGTTTGTGTTCACCATTCCACAGATGACGAAGAGAACGTCGGACAAACCGCTAGGAATCGTCACGAGCGCCACCAAAGCGTCCACCACATAGTATATGGGCATGAAAGATACATACGCACAACGCACACCCCACCCCCTCACACACACACACACACACACACACACACACACACAGTGTTACTATGGCGGCAGCCGTGATAATAGGCCGTTTGCGCGTCCCAAGTTTTCGAAGCTCGATAGAAATAAAACGTGAAATACACGCTGCGACCCCGCGGCGTCATAACGGAGGGAATTTACGACTCTATTAGGGTGGAATATAACAACTACTGGAGAGGGAGAGGCAGTGAGAGCAAGAGAGAGAGGGAGAGGGATGGCGTCCATCGGATTACCCTTACTCAGCCTGGCCCTAGGGCCGTCCGTATTTCATGTTCTATATTTTCTATTCGTCGCGTGGTGGCCGGTCGAGACGCTACAGGGCCGAAAAATAAAACGGCAACACATACCGCGGACCGCGGGGGAGTATTGCGCATGATGTGTGTGGAGAAATAGGAGGACCGGTGGTTGCCGCGCTGACCCTGCACCGCATGAAGATGTCTGAGGTATATAAAAGAGGACAACAGAGTGCGTAACGCGCAAGCCTGATGACGTGCCGAACACGACGAGAAACATACGAGGAGGATTACACGGAGGCGGGAGCCGGTGGGATGACTTTTGCTAAGGCTTGCGCGCGCGCGCGACACCAGAAGCCGGCAGACGTTCTTTACGATGTCGCGGCGACGGTTTTTCCTTTATTTTTAAGGCTTTGTCCGGTCTAGACGGTCCGAGATACGACAAACTCTCTTCGCCGACAGTGGCGATCCCCTTCTACGGAAGTAACGCTATCTGCTGCCGATAGTGCGGGGCGGCGCGGGGCGGCACACCACCCGGACCTTCCGACTACCGTCTACAATGTTCTCACTAACTGAAAGGCCGCAGTAAGTTATCGTAAGCCACGAGGGGTGGCAGAGTGGAATGCGTGAAGCCGTGAAGATGCGTGGCTCATGGGACAACACCAATAATTTTACTACTGACCGAATCACTTCCTAAAATATCAACAG